TTATCCTATACTGTTGAAACTATACTTCTGTGTCATCTAATTGGATAAGAAATATATATGAGGTTCATTTGTGCGAACATCAATTCAAAGCAGTGTTGATTTGAATTCCCATTTCAACATTTATTTCATCTATTTAACTAATATAAAGAATGACTACTTAAATTCCCAGTGACGGAAGTTCCAATTTAGATCTGATGGGGAATGACAATTTTGAAAAACATGACTAACATATTTTCAAACTCTGTTTCACAATTGGTCTGAAGAAGCTGATTTAAAGGAATTTAATTAACAAGATTGGGTACCTGAAGGTCCAGCAAGATCCACAATGACCTTGATTCTTGACTGGGCTCACTATCCCTACCTCCCTCCAGTCTTTCTGCAACAAGGGTAAAAATATAATTTTAATTATGACACCTGATATCCCAAAATTTTAATTAAATTTTGTGGATGAATCTCTGACGTCCATGGACCGACCAAATGCTATCTTGATCATCATTTGATCCAGATCAGACGATGACCATCGTGATCCATGCGAAAAGATACGAAAAGGAAAGAAGAGAGAACGAAGGTCTCCGTGATACCGTATCGGGGACGACTGCATCAGTCAACAGATGGTTTCCGCGGTCGGTGGCAGAGCAGTTCTGAGCGGCTCCGAGTCGACCCGCCTGGAACTCTTCCCAGCTCCAATCCGCGAATCCTGATGCATATCAGACGGCCATCAACAGGTCAATCGATCGCATCATAGATCGGACGGCTGGGACCCCACTGGTCAGTAAACTCACGGTTGATCGCTAGGGTATATGGCAGTCCCCGGCGGTTGGTGGACCGGATGAGCTCCAAGTTCTCCACAAATATCCCGAACCGGCGCCGTATCTCCGCTGCCGACCCGTAACTCTTCCCGTACCTGGGAAAGAAGAAGTGCGTCATACGGCGGCCTGCGGCGACGAGAAGAGTACTGGGAGGGGTCTTCGCGGTTACCTGTGGGCGAAGCGGGCGAAGTCGAGGGCGTGGCGGGAGAGGCCGAGTGCGCGAATGACGGTGGCGTCGGCGGATCTGACCCGGTCGGTGACGGATCGGATCGGGTTGGCCTCGTCGAAGGTGGAGAAGGCCGTGGCCGAGGAGAGAACGAGGAGGAGGACGCCGACGCCGACGGCGAGGGCCGGGTGGTGACGATCGGTGGCCATTGAATGGTCGATCGATGGGCGAGGGCGTACAAAACGTGACGGTGTTTTGATTTTTATTTAGCAGTGGTGAGTGGAGAGGGTTGGTGCATGGATGCGGCTGCTTTCTTTTAATATTATGCGCCATTGACCGCGATTCGTACCTTCCATGTCATTGGGGAATCCAATGGAACCCAGTGTGGGGGCAACACGTAAGTGATACGAAACAGCGGTAAACATGTGGCGAGACACAATTAGTATCCGAAGGCGTGCGTTCGATTGATGCTGCCAAGCTGTCGGGAGTCCATCCGAGCCGTTCATTTCATTCGAATCTGACAACTCAACGGTCCATCTGATTTTATGACCATCCAGCACTAATGCGGCATGCTCCCTATTTAATGAGGAAGAGTCCATCCAAGCCGTTCATATCATTACAATCTGTCATCTCGACCGGCCATCTGATTTCGTAATCGCCGTGCCCTTTTATGGAAGAGGCGGTTTGAAATCCAAACTCGACGCATTTGGTAGGTTCACGACAGATATAACAAAGAATTAGTGCAATGGTCGGATTCAAAAGATTGCCATCTGGTACACACACCGAGAACATAAAAATGACTCGCTAATCCAAAAAATGTGGCAATTCAATTATTTCCCTCCTCGACGATTCTTATCAAAACACTTCGGATAGAGTCCACGACCGAGGTCGTCACTCAAGAGGCACGACAGACAGCATTCTCAAGCAGTAGAAATAACAAAGACCACCACCAAATAGCAGTGCCAGGATGGAGCCATTTCAACAATCACAATCAACAGCTTCCAGTCAACCATCTCAACCTGTGTAGTGGTGAACAAAATGTCCAAAACAATCCTTTGGTGCCAAACAGGATTCCATGCCTGGGTCGACAGGAAGGAAGAGCAACTACTAGATTGAGGAAACCAAGATATCAATAGCAACATTTTGATCCTCAAAAGTTATCATTAACAGTTTGCCATGCATGCATGTGTCCGACCGAATTCACCTTCTAGCCACATTCTCTACCATTTCTTCCATATGTTTCAGCATATCCTCTGAATAGATTCAATCCCTTTCAAGTTGCTTCGGAGAAGACAATCTGAGGGCTCCAAACTCTTCCAGTGTAAAGCTTCATAAACATATTTCTTTTGTTTGTCATGGGTTCCCTACAGACCAGCTTCATCTTAGTTAAACACACGACATTGCAGCATACCGATTCTACAATAAAATGCATGAATCAATGAATCTATATCAGAAACCAAACTGGTGTGATAAATTAACTGATTCGTTAACTTCAAGAACGTGAACCCATGTCGTGATAATAGACTCATCTAACACTACAAACTAACTCAAATCTCATCTTGCTTTTGGTACAAGACTAAACTAGCGTGTCCTAACATCCCTCGCTTATGTTCTCCTAAAAACCAAACATAGCAGAAAGTAAAATCTTAGTATGGTGTATTTAGATCATGACATGTCTCTTATTGTCATGAGTAGTTCTTAACCACCGAGGCCCCATACCGTGCCCAATATACTTTCGTACTAAGGTCATTCATCATGGGCAATACTAGGTTCGGTACCATCCAACACAATTAACTTCATAAGCTTGTACCACTGATACTTAAGCTCAAATTAACAGTAGTTGACTCAACTAGCCCTATAAACCAAATCAAATCTCAATACGTTAGATGTGAGACTAAACCTGAGTGTCCCAGTTCCCCAACTTATGTCCTATATAGATAGGAAACATGGTAAGAATGATTCGTACCACGACATATACTTGCAGCTACCACCTTACACAAACATTCTTCATTCAGATAAAATGGATATAATCTTCAGAGTCTACAAACTCAACTATACTATCAGCAATTGCAATTGCAGATAAGATAGAACACAAACATTAACTCTCCACCTCAGCAAATCCAAATTGATCCGTCTGTAAACAAACAAACAAGAATTAAATGAAACAAAAAGTATAGCACACAAACTAAGCATCAAAAGGTTCAGCATAATTCTGGTGAACAGCATGTGTACACCAATGTCAGGTTTGTTCATGAAGGCCAATAACAATGACATAGATAACAAGAACTTGTGATGAAACATGACCAAAACTAAACTCAAAATCCTTGACATTATATGAAGCATATAATTCTATGTAGATGCTCATGACAAGAATCAGGTCCAAGCTTCAATATCGAAATTTATAGATCAGAAGCATATTCTAGATCTAGAATGCAACCAATAATTTCAAGCACAATAAGTAATTAGATATGCCAAGAATTCGATGTACTTGTCGAATCATACGAGTCAAGCAGTGAGCACGACCGCGCCACCGGCGGCCTTGATCTTCTTCTCGGCGATCTTCGACACCAACTTGGCCTTGACGACAACGGGGCGATCCGGGGGCAGCATCCCCTTGCCCAGCACCTTGAAGTACCCAAACTGGGTGACGTCAATCAACGGGGCGGCGTCCTTGGCGGCAGCGTCCTTGACGGCGTCGGGGACGAGGGACCAGAGGCGGTCGACGTTGACGGCAGGGCAGTGGAACTTGTTGCGGAGGCGGTGGAAGTAGCGCATGCCGACATTGCCGAAGTAGCCCGGGTGGTACTTGTCGAAGAGGATGCGGTGGTGGTGCATGCCACCGGCGTTCCCGCGGCCACCCGGATGCTTCCGGTGCTTACCGATGCGTCCGTGCCCGGCGCTCACGTGGCCCCGCTTCTTCCGGTTCTTCTTGAAGCGCGTCGTCATCGCGCCGCCGCTACCTTCGGGTTAGGGTTTCGGGAATGGGGAACACAACGGAACGAAGAGTAGTAGATTCCAAAAGCGAGGTGGGGGAGGGGGGGTTGGCCACATATAGAAAAGTAGAATGAATGTAGACCGTCCGATTGAAACGGGCAACGGTATATGATGCGACCAAGGAGTTTACCGGCTTACGGTGGCCCAGTGGACCTGTTTAGCCCAATTGGCCTACTAAGGTTCAGAGTGGAATTCATAATTATTTATATGATAAATGATTTTTAAATACTAGCTAAAAATAAAATATATATACATACAGACATAAATAATATTTTCTAAAAATCCCCGATTTTTTTTCCTTTTTATTAACATAAGCCATCTCATTATCATCATCATTCTCCACAAGAAAAGGAGGATTGATTTCTAAATTTCAATAAACATAATATTTAAAAATAAAGAATGATATATTATTTTAGTTTTAAATATTTTAATTGCAAGAAAAGTAAGATTAGATTATCAAAGCCAACTCCACGTGGTAAATTTTAAGCAGGTAAAAGAGGGGACAGTAAAATGTGGTGTAACTGAGAAAGTACATGTGGCAGCATCTTTATGGCCCTCCTTTAACTCAGACCCAGATGCAGAGGACGCAGCGCCATGTACGACTCAGGGATGAAGACCCCCGGGGCCCACCATTGACTAAATGCCTCTGCACCACTCATGTGTCCTCTTGTACTCGTACCCACTTGCTTCGCTGTCACCACCCCCAACTACGCAGGCCAAAATTAAGTTAAACTTATTTCTTTAAAGAAATTATTTATATTCTATCTAATTATTATTATTATTATTATTATTATTTTGTGCAGAACAACTGCTATGGTGTTGCAGCAGTCTATGAGCTTTATTTGAAAAGCTGCAGCATTGTCCCCATGCTGCTGCAAAATCCACATGTCACCTGCACCCCATCCCAAGTGATGAAGCCCCCCTGCCATATGATACAACCCATATATATATATATATATATATATATATATATATATATATATATATATATATATATATAAACACACGGGAGTAATAAAAACCGGAATGGGAGAGTGAATAGCCAAATGGGAAACGAGAAACAGGAACCGCGAGAAACGGATCTTACCGCTCGTAACTTCCGGCTGCGACTCCCTCCGCATTTAAGCGCGACAGTGGTCCACGCTCGACCCGAAGTCGTGACGCTTCGCCGCCGACTCGAGACCGATGGCCGCGGCGGAGGCGTTGGAGGAGAAGCAGGCGGATGCTACGCAGGCTCCCCGGGCCCGGTCGCCGCGGCGGTACACGGACCTCTGCGGGCGCCACCGGCTGCAGGCGCGGGTCCAGCTCTTGAGTCGGGAGATCGGCTTCCTTGAGGTAAGACTCTGCTTCCCCGATCTCCAATGTCTCGATGCCGATGCGTGGAGATAGAAAGGGTGAGTTCACCGTGAGGCGTCTTTGGTTTATCCTGTGGTCCTCGGAATGATCCGTAGATGAGACCACCCTGGTACCTACCTCACATGAACTGGATGCACGTGAAGTGCAGTGGGAAATAGGACCAAGACATTGATCCACCTTTGCCTTTTTATTCGATCTAATTTTCATGTTGATCAACAGCCATTGTTCAAGCCTGAAGAAGAAATTTTATTCAGTAACAAGAACCAATGAGATTCAACTTTGTATATTACATACAATGTTAGGCTATTTGGTCGCATTTTGTGATCTGGGAGGAAGTAATGGAGGAAAGAACAAAGTCTATGGACGAGCAACAGAAGAGCGCTGTTGCTAAGTACATAGTTCAGCAACTCTTTTCTCAGTGTACAAGACAACTTGAAGAACAGTATTACTGGGTAAAGAATTGCTGGTACTTAACCAAACAGAGGTGGGGGTAGTTTCTTTCCCCACCATTTTGTTTGTTGTCCATTTGTCCTCTGGGAAAGTTTAGTACACTTTAACAGTTCCTTTTACATGTTTTGCCTGAGTCCAATTGTTAATTGTCTCCGATATGTGAAGTTTTTTTTTTTTAGTGTGAAACATTTTGGATTCTGTTCTATGAAAATTTTATGAAGTTATTTTATGTTTTATTTCTAATTAATTTCAAGGAAGAACAAATGGAGCTTTTGCTTTGTTCTTCCTTAAGTAGAGCAATCTATCTTTTCCTTCTCAAGAAAAAAGAAATCAATCTGTTATCTTGGGTATATTACTCCATGATGGGGCTGTAGCTGTAAGACTTGTTAGAAACTATGAGAAGGGCTCCTCACAGGTTGAAAATAAACAATTTGTACTTTTGGATTGTACAAAAAATACATCTTCTGTGCTTGGTTCTTCAACAATGCACTCCCATTCTTTGTGCTCTTCATATAAAACCAGCACAAGTCTTGTCATGGTATCTGGGTAATATTGTGAAACTCATGTAGCAATGACTATGGGTATTCATTTTACAATGTTTTTCTACCACTCAGATTTTCCTATGCAGATCTGTTCTGATTCCTTTTCCTTTTTTTTTTATGAACTAATCAAGACTTGATTTGATCAGGAGGAGTTACAATCAGTTGAAGGGCTTCAACCTGTCTCTGTATGCTGCAAAGAGTATGTTATATTCAGCTTCTCTCTCTTAAACAAGTACAATTATGCAGATTGGTGATTGAGAGGGAAAACTAAACTTTGATAAGGAATCAATATATATATCATTTGAGGCATATTGCTCCTATTCTTTTTCTTTTAATGCAAGTAAATGTGCATTAAGAAGAACAAGATAGTTACATACAACACCAAAATTTCTGAAGATAAGAAAGTTTTACAGTAGTAATGAAAACAAATTTCAAGAAGAGCATTAATCTTACTGATTGCACCTCTAAGCTGATATGGAGAAATAATTCTCCTATTCAAGTCAGCTGATCTGCCACATGATTTAACAAATTCAAACTGAAAAGATCAGATACTAGTATAGGATTAGTCTCTTTGCAAAAGCCAACACTTTCTAACTATTTCCTACTTACATAGCAAGTAATCATTGTCATGATGTTGTCAGGGTTGATAAATATGTAGGGACAACTCCAGATCCTTTAATCCCAACGTAAGATACTTTGAACACACTCTTTATTTTGGAGATTCTTGCTAATATACTTACAGCATCCTTTGGTAATCAGATATAAGAAGAGACATAAGTCCTGCTGCTTCTCGAGGTGGCTCCGGTAATGTCTATTTCTTCCAAGTCCCTAACGAGAAGTGCATTTTCCTAACAAAAATTGTGTACCATCTTAAAAGCCTAACACAACACTTCACTGGTAGTTCTGTACAAAGTTACTTTGTTTCCACTTCTTCTCCTCTAATTATTTCCTTTTAACATAAATTGACTTCTTTTAGTTCTGTGAAGTTATAGCAGTGTTTGAAAATGGTCTATGTAAAGAAGCAAAATCTGCTGACACACATGAAATCTCAAACTAAATAATTGTGTTCCTTTTTATCTCTGGCTACTGGTATGCCTGCTATGTGATGCAATTGCTACTTCTCTTTCATTCTTCCTTTATTTATAGTTTTTTGCTCAGTTTATAAAATCTGAATAATGAGTTATTACACTTTTTTTTTTCATGAACTACAAAGGAACAAAAAAATAAAAAACAAATGCATGCTCAGTGCTATCATACTGTTTGAAGTATTACTTGGAGGATAGAAATATGTACTTGCACATTCTTATGAGGTGAATATCTTACCATCATCTTCTCCCAGCATTATATTCAGCATATTGAGAATCCTTGCATAACAGTTGTTACTCTTTGCATGCTGATGTTGTCATTAGTGTCATCTTGCTTTCTGCCATAATGAGTGACCATCTACTCCTTCCACTAAGCACTTGGTCTTCCAAGTTGCTGCTTCATGTGGCTGAGATCTTAACAGAGGTGTTCATCTGTGGGCAGGGCAATGGTTTGCTTCAATGCGACATGCTTCACCGGTGGTTGCTCGAGCTGGCAGAACAGACCTTGTTGCACTCGTAGACCCAACGGGTCCTGCTCCTCTAGTGGTGGATACCCTAGCAGAAGCTGCTGCAGCGTTTCCTGCTCCAGATTGCGCTGTGTCATCCCAAGACTCTCGTGTCCTGGATATTCTTGTGGATGTGTCTGTTCTTGTTCCAACTGTACCAAGGTACGCCTTTGCCCTACATGTTTGTGTTGTATTAGCCACTGTGTATGTGAATAATAGATCACTTGATGTTCTTCAGTGTGCTGATTTCTTACTACGTATTTGTACATCTCTTCTTTCTTTTGGTATCTTAATAATTGCAATTAATACAGAAACATGCCTAGTGAGCACTGCTTTTCCAATAAAAGAACAGGTAATTTCTCTCTGTTTCATACTTGGTTTATTCTGTTGCCTACTGAAAACAAAGGCAAATATCATGTTGATGGGATTCGAAAGGTAAAAGCTGTTCACAACACTTTTCCATAATCTTAAGTGCTTGACAAAACTGGGATACCAACCTCACATACCTTCTCTATCATGAAGCCAGATGAATTATTATGTAGTAATTTCTGGTTATTCTGCATTAAATCAAGCTACCAATCATATGACCATATCCTAATAATTCTTGTTTCTGAAGTTGTGTGTGGCCTCATATTGTACTCTCTTTTATAGCTAAATCTGTGCATACTTTGGAGGGTGAGTCACACTAAACACCTCTGATATGTGAACTAGAAAGATTCACCTTCAAGACAGATAAGCTTGGCACCATTGAGAAGCATATTTTGACTAACCATTATGCTCTTTCTTTCTACCTATGAGGCCACATATGAGGTACACTTCAGCTATATTCTCTTTCGGTGATCTACTTTTAGAGGCTCTGTTGATTTGTTCTAAAGTATCCACTACCAGTTGATCTAATTGGTTTTTTAGAAGCATGAAATGGCAATGGGAACAAGAAGATATCTCATACTGACATCTTGTGTGTCATCAATGCTGATGGTCTTGTGTGTGTGTGTTTTTTTTCATTACACTAAAATGGATTATCTATGTTTTTTTTTTTCTCAACACAGCTTTCTATATTTTTCTACCGAGGTTTAGGTCGAACATTAATAGTGTTGTAAATGATTATCGTTAGAAAGGGAAAAACAAGATATAAAGAGATGTGAAATGAAATAAATATTTTTTTTATTAATCTTAATGATGATAAAAGAAAATAATTGGGACTTACGATCTTGTTGTTGTACATAAAAACGGATAATAGTAAAGAATTTTTAGTGAAGACATGTTTCAAAAAATAAAATTTAATTGGTCTTTATAAACTCAATTAGTGACACCTTCAACGAAAAAAGAAAAAAAAACACTTATCCTCACCTATATTTTCTTCACTATGTGTCTTCATAATCTCGACTACCAAAAACACAAAGCTGATTCCATTCTAATGATATAAAATGAGTCTTGAAGATGGAATTCTTCCATTCTCAGTGATTCTTTTCACTTCAAATGACAAGTAGTATGTATACTTGTGAAAGAAGAAAGACTCGTGCATAATCCAGCGGAAAATTTGTGCAATTTTTTTCGCATAACATAAAACTACTCTTGGAATCCTCGAGATTAAGCAACGAGTTTTACTCGTTGGAAATTGGAAACGCTCCCTTTCTGTTCTTCTTTCATTTTCTTTTGCTTTTCCTATGCGATTCGATTCTTATCCTCATCCGCCAAGCAAATAAAGGTCGGAAAGCCTCTCCGGGTCCGGGGCCCAACCATGGTTCGGGGGCTGCCCGGGGTCGACCGCACAGCCCGCGGTGAGTCGAGGTTCCGCCGGAGGAGCTGCCTCACGGCGGCGATCAGCTGCTCCGCCGGATCCACCGCTGCGGCCTCAGCCGAGCGGAAGCTTCGGCGGAAGCTTGCATGACGGCCCATGGCCTCCTCGAGCGAGATGAGGGGCCCGGAGCGGCGGATCTCGTCCTGGACGGCCTCGGCGCAGAGACCGCAGATCCACCGCCCGCCGTGCCGCTCCCGTACGCCGGCGATGTACGCCGGCGTGCACTCCTCCATGAGCCCGCAGCAGTCGCACGCCGCGAACTCCACCTCCACCGCCGCAGCGTCTCCCCCGTTTTTCACCGTCGCCGACATGACCGAGAACAAATCTAAAAGCACGCTTGGCCGAGATCTAAAAGAAAAGAAGCCCCGGATTATGATGTGCTCGATCTAGATCTACGAAGAAGGGAACGGAACTGCAAGTACCGACTTGGAAGGGGCAGGGCGGGAGATAGATATGATGATATGTAGGTGGGTGGTGGCTACAGCTCCGTCTCAGCAAAGGCGACCGCGTTGGTCGATTGCTTCTCTCTTTCGTCCCCACTCAAAGCGGCCGCCGATGGCACCTTCTTCTCTTCCTCTTGAACTTCAGAGGACGCCATCTCTCTCTCTCTCTCTCTCTCTCTCTCTGTCTGCTAAATCACTTGTTCTTGCAATTTAGGGTGAGGGCGCGTCGAGGGCATTTTATTTGGTGGCGAAGAGGGCGTGGGGAACGAGAGCGGGGCCCCAGCCGCGTCAGCAAGAATGGGATGGCATGACATGCCCTGCTCGCCTCGGAACGAGGCTTTCTCCCAACCCTACCCTTCTTTCCTACCTGTCCTCTGATTACTTAGCTGGAAGCATTCCCAATCAGAGAGCAGGTAGCCAGAAGGGCCCGTTAAGTGGTAGGTCTCCAATTCTTTGAAGGGGATTATCACGTCTCTGCGACGACAGTGCCAGCTGTCTGCCAACTCATCTCCGGCGACCACCACTACATGCCACCTCTGACGCTATCCCACCGGTGACACAATGGAGCGACGTAATCACGGTGCTACGTGTCGCGCTAAGGAATCCCGATGAGCAGCGCAAACGACTACTTTACCCTTCTATCTTTTGCTTGGGCCTGTCGTCCACGGATGAGCCACCTCATCGCACCCGTCAGCGTCCGAATCTGACGGCAGCAAGCAAGCAAGCACTTGACATGATAAATAATTAACTAAATAAACAAGAAAACTACTACTATTCCCTAATCCTTATGCGCCACAAAAACCAGTTGTAATCATGCCACCTCGATGAAATTAGTTTTCTATTTTTTTATTTTCTTATTGGCTATCCAAATATATTCCAATTTGCTACATCCGTTGACAGAATGAGATAGAAAAAGAAGGCATCTAATTCGGATTCAGTAATAACGCATTAGAACAGAAGGGTATGTTTGTCAACACAAAGACTAGTTATTGGTAGCACAATTGACAAAACGACCACATCCGATGCAGTACCCATTACGATTAACTAATGAAACATGAATTGATGATCCTTAATTGGGTGGGGCCATCGTGTACAATGGATACTCCTGTTGTCTACTATTGTACTTGATGGTTTGGACAGAGACGCAAGCAAGAGGCAACCCATCATTCATTCACCCACCAAAGAAAAGGAAAGCCACAACCACCTTCTGCTTATCAACTTGGGACTCCGAGCATGGCAATGTATCGATAACATGTAGATTTCCCGTCGACCCAACACAATCGAACCCCACTCAGTCATCTCATTAGCCTCAAATGCTAACATCACTGTTCATGTAAATTCAACATCACAAGCATCTCAATTGCAACAAATAATAAGCTACCAAGATCTTGCTTCGAATAATATTACAATTTTGGATTTTATCAGTGTATAATAAATGGGAGATATCTAGACCCCCCAGTGTTTAGATTCACATCATATCAAAATGCACCTTCATAACCTAGTGTTTTGAAATCTGCCTACATCATTACCAATGTCAAGACTGTCCAAAGCGTGTATTGTAGTCTCTTAATTATCATACTACTGCAAGAAATATATACCATCCATAACACCTCAACATAGTTCCTCCCGATCGTCAAGCGATAAGAAATATGTTGTCATTGTACGATAAGACCACCAAATTGGGGAATTCACCGGTCTCTAAGGTAAAAGCATCAATGATATCACGTCTTTTGTTCAACAACTATATCAAATCAGGTAAGGATCATTAAGCATACTATTCCTTCCACTGGATTGTTACCCAGGTTGCTTAAAAGGGAACGGTAAATTATGGTTTTAAGCTTCGTAGCAATGCACTCATGCCACGATTTATACAAGCCTAAAAGTTTTACTTTATGACGTTGGACAATTTTGTAAAGAATTTTGATGCTATATATGACCAGCATAAATTGATGGACTAATATGTCTTTAACAAAGGAATTCTGTAGGGCTTACCTATCAACTATTTATGTTTCTCTTGATCTTAGGAGTAGGGTGGTTCAATGTACTATCGTTTGAAAGGGTAAGGTATAGAAATATGGTTTTCATTTGTTGTTTGACATGTGTTCAAAAGACTGAAGTTTGAACTTTAAAGTTCATGAATCAATGGTGGCAATTGTTGTATGATTTCTTGTTCTTGTCATTGCTAACATCACAAAACACATCCCAAAACTTTTTATTTTTCGTGTTTCGCTTATTCAAAGGTACACAGACACAAAAAACACTTTAAAGCCAGCCATGGCTAAGAAATTGTCTTTGGTTTTCGCCATTATGATCCATTGGGTGGACCTAAAAGTTCATTGACTCCAAATTCCTTAACTTGGATCAGAGGACTGACCAACCATGTGAATGGCAATTCCACAAAAGTTGGTCATTCAGATAGTTCTTCTCATCAAGAATATAACATCACAAAACACATCCCAAAACTTTTTATTTTTCGTGTTTCGCTTATTCAAAGGTATACAGACACACAAAAAAACTTTAAAGCCAGCCATGGCTAAGAAATTGTCTTGGTTTTCGCCATTATGATCCATTGGGTGGACCTAAAAGTTCATTCGACTCCAAATTTCTTAACTTGGATCAGAGGATTGACCAACCATGCGAATGGCAATTCCACAAAAGTTGTTCATTCAGATAGTTCTTCTCATCAATTCCTAATTGAACAAACTTCCCACTTCTTTGTTGTTGACACAATTACTTTGTCTAAAGTCATACCCACAAATTATTCATGCATCCCTTGTGTTTCTATACATTAGAGTCACTAACACAGTGAGTTGGTGCTTTGTTGTGTATGCTCAGTTTAAGGTGGATAAATATTTACTTGATGAAGGCAAGAGTTATAACGTTTGCAAAGAGAAAATGGAATGGTGCAATGAACTCTCTATATCATTGTCAAGAAAGGGGTGAGCAAGAAACCCTGACAACCTAATCTGTAATCAAAGAATCAGGAAGAGGAAGACTCACCGACACCTTCTTCTGAGTGGAAAGGCACACGAGATCCTTCCCTCGCACGCCGCTCGACGCGATCCCGTAGGCCAAACCCATGCTCCGTGCCGATCCCCTTAGGAAAACCCTGGAACCAGATGTAGGGCTCGCCATGGCTTACTTGGGAAAAGCAAATTCGTAGGGCTCGACAAACACCGATCCCCTTAGGAAAACCCTAGAACCAGATGTAGGGCTCGCAATGGCTTACTTGGGAACAGAGAATTCGTAGGGCTCGACAAATGGGTGGCATACGGCGGTCGAAGCCGGCACCGATTCCACGGCTCTCCCTTCGGTTGGATGGTGGAGTTGCGCATTAGGGTTCGGCATTGGAGATCGGAGAGTGCGACGGCGACGACGACGACTGGAAATAGAAGAAGCATTAGAGACGTCTGTTTGCCTCTCCCGCCGTAAGAGCTCTATATGTTCTCAATTTCCTATTTTCTATTTAATTATTTATCTTTTATTTTTATTTCTTTCTTTCTTCACTTTATTCCTTCTTTTTTTTCCTCAAATCGTTTCCTTTATAAATTTTCTTTTCTTTATCATATATTCTATTTTTAATATTTCTATGTATTTATATTTTTAATATTTCTATTATACACTTTTAATAAAGATATATATATATATATATATA